AAACATGGTGAAACCTGTCCTCTCACACCCCAACAAAAAAAAAAAACAACACCGCTGGGCATGGCGGGCCCACATGCACCCGTCACAGCTATTGGAGGCGCCTGAAGTGTGAGGATCCCTGAGCCTACCGGAGCGCTACGCGTAAAGGCCTCGGCGTGAGCAAGCTCCGCCACTGGCAACTCCACGCCTGTGGTAACGACCCCTGTCTCAACGCAAAACAAAAGGCCCAGCCAAAAAAAAAAGACAAATAACGGTTTCGTACGGCATGTGGAGACCCTCAAACCTTGTGCACCTGCTGGTGGGAAAAAACAAGTCACGCACTCATAGAAAACAGCATGGCAGTTAACCCCTCAAAACACAAAACACCCTACGTTACCAGTTACTGATTGCGTACTTCTGTTAATATACACAAAAAGAATTAAAAGTAAAGGTCTCTGGATGGGCACACCACGTAGCACACACCTGTAATCCTTAGCGCTTTGGGCAGCGGCTGAGGCCGACAGATTCACTCTGAGCTGCCAAGTTGGAGCCCAGCCTGGCCCACATGCCCAACCCGTCCCTCTACCAAAATTACAAAAAAAGCCTCCGCCGCGGTGGCCTCCCGGCCTGCTAATCCCCAGCACCTGATTGCGGAGGCCGAGACCGGCGCGCGACACGAGGTCGAGGAGATCGAGACCACCCTGGCTGACACGGTGCAAACCCCGTCTCCTACTAAAAACTACAAAAAACAAAACGGCGGGCACCGCCGGGGCCGCGCCTCGTAGTCCCGCTAAACTCGGCGCGGCTGCGCGGCACCGAGACAATGGCCGGCACCCGGGCGCCCGAGCTTCCGCGCAGCCGAGATCCGGGTCCCGCGCCTCCAGGCCTGCGGCGACGCGCCCCCGCCGCGCCGCGCCGCCCGCCCAGCAAGACTCCTCTCACAAACACAAAAAAAAAAAATTACAAAAAAAATTAGCCAGGCATGTTGGTACACACCTGTAGTCCCAGCTACTCAGGAGGCTGAGGTGGGTGGATCGCTTCAGTTTGGAAGGCGGAGGTTACAGTGAGCTGAGATCCATTGGCGGATGAATGGACAAACCAAATGTGGTACGTACATATAATGGAATATTGTTCAGTCTTAAAAAGCAAGAAAATTCTGACACATGCTACCACATGGACGAACCTTGAAGACATTATGCTAAGTGAAATAAGCCTGACATAACAAATATTGTATGATTCCTCTTACGTGAGGTACCTGAAATAGTCAAATTCATAGAGACGAAAAGTAGAAGGGCATGTTCCAGGACCTGGGGTAAGGGGGAGGTGGGAGTTACTGCTGAATGGTATACAATTTCAGTTTAGGAATACGAAAATGCTCTAGAGTTCAACGCTGGTGACAGTTGTGCAACAATGTGAATATACTTAATGCCACTGAACCGTGCACTTCAGACGGCTAAAATGGTAAACTTTTGGTTCTGTGTATTTTCCCCTCCCACTCCCAGCACACACACACGGAAATGCACTGTAACGGAACACGTAGTGTACTGCTCAGATTCCCCTTCATGATCACGACATTTATCTCCCAAGAGCTCAGCTCTTCTCTAAAAATTACACTTGGCTGAAGGCGGCTTCCTCTCCCACGTTTACACCCCCTTCCTGGGGACAGCCTGCATCCTATGACTGGTCAATGGGGGGACACAAAAGTCTGATCCTTTGCCGCCGAAAGACCACCCTATCCTTGGTGCTCCCTACGGGGTTGGCTAAGGCTTCTGTTACCATTGTATCCATTCGTATTCTACCTCTGCCCAAATCTGCTCATAGCTATTATTCCAGAGAGCTTCTCCAGTAATTGCCCTGAAGGCAAATCTCCATCTCAGAGTCCATTTCCCAGGGAATACAACCTAAGAGAATTCATGTGGAAAAATGCATCTTTCTAAAATTAATTAAAAGCTGGGCAACGGTGTATTTCCATGCTTGGTAATGCCCAACACTTTGGGAGGCTGAGGTGGGCAGATCACTTGAGGCCAGGAGTTCAAAGACCAGCCTGGCTGACAGGGCAAAACCCTCATCCTAACAAAAATACAAAAAATAGCCAGGGCGTTGTAGCGCACACCTGTGGTCCAGCTACTCGAGAGGCCTGGAAGCCATGAGAATCGCTTGACCCAAGGAGGCGGAGGCTGCAGTCGAGATAGCACCGCTGTACTCCAGCCTGGGCAATGGAGACTGCCTCAAAATAAATAAATATAATAGGCCGGGTGCGGTGGCTCAAGCCTGTAATCCCAGTACTTTGGGAGACCGAGGACGGGCGGATCCACGAGGGTCAGGAGAATCGAGACCATCCTGGCAACACGGTGAAACCCCGTCTCTACTAAAAATACAAAAAAACTAGCCGGCGAAGGTGGCGGGTGCCCTGTAGATCCCAGCTGACTCGGGAGAGCTGAAGGCAGAGAATGGCCAGTGAACCCGGGGGGCGGAGCTTGCAGTGAGCTGAGATCCAGCCACTGCCACTACCAGCCCCTGGGCTAAGAGCGATGACCTCCGTCTCAAAACCAAACAAACAACAACAAACAAAATAAATAAATAAATAAAAGTAATTTAAAGTTATAACTCCAACATTTCCCTTCTCCTGTTTGGTACCTGATTCTCAGTCGGTCGTTTTCTGAGTAGAGGCGCAAAACATGTTCCCGCTCTTGGAAGAGGCAGACCTGCATGTCACTTAGCGCTTTCTGCAGTTCCGCGATCTCTTCCTCCCTCTGCTGCAAATCACATTCAAGTTTATGCTGCAGAAAAACCACAGTGAGAAGCTGAAAGACACTGGGCTTCAATGGAGGATCTCTCACTGGATAGGGAGGAGTCTACTCATGTAGAAATTTCCTGCAGTTAGGCCGGCGCGTGGCTGGCGCGCTGTAATCCAGCATTTTGGAGAGCCGAGGCGGCGATCACCCAGTCAGGAGATCGAGACCATCCTGGCTAACATGGTGAAACCCCGTCTCTACTAAAAAATACAAAAATTAACTGGGCGAGGTGGCGGCGCCTGTAGTCCCAGCTACTCCGGAGGGTGAGGCAGGAGAATGGCGGTGAACCCGGGAAGGCGGAGCTTGCAGTGAGCTGAGATCCGGCCACTGCACTCCAGCCTGGGCCACAGAGCAAGACTCCGTCTCAAAAAAAAAAAAAGAAATATTCCAGAGTAAATAATTTTGCCAATACAGAATTCAAATGACAGCAATAGGCATGTATAGACCGGAGTTTGTTTGTTTGTTTATTGAGATCAAGTCTTGCTCTGTTGCCCAGGCTGGAGTGCAATGGCATGATCTCAGTTCACTGCAACCTTCACCTTCTAGGTGATTCTCGTGCCTCAGCCTCCCAAGTAGCTGAGATTACAGGTGCATGCCACATGCCCAGCTAATTTTTGTATTTTTAGCAGAGACGGGGTTTCGCCATGTTGGGCAGGCTGGTCTTAAACTCCTGACCTCAAGTGATCCACCCGCCTCAATCTCCCAAAGTACTGAAATTAAAGGCATGAGCCACCATGCCCGACCTTGACTGGAGTTTAAAAGCTACAGGATGAGTGTGAAGTTTGCATTTAACATCAAAGCTCTCACATCTTCCTTTTACGGACTGTAGAATCCAGAATGCCGTACAACTCACCTATTCTATCCACAGCTTTTTTTTCTCTTTGAGACAGAGTCTCACTCTGTCGCCCAGGCTGGAATGCGGTGGCATGATCTCTGCTTACTGCAACCTCCGCCTCCCAGGTTCAAGTGATTCTTCTGCCTCAGCCTCCCGAGTAGCTGGGATTACAGATGCGCACCACCACGCCCAGCTAATTTTTGTATTTTTAGTAGAGATGGGCCAGTAGACGTTGGCCAGGCTGGCTTGAACTCCTGAGCTCAGGCAATCCACCCACCTTGGCCTCCCAAAGTGCTGGGATTACAGGCGTGAACCACCGCACCCGGCCTATCCACATTTTTTTGGTAATGTTTCCTATATCATAAGCATTATTATGACATGCAGAAAAACAAAGATGAAAAGATCTGATTCCTGTCTACAGAGCTAAGGAATTTCATGGGGAGAGAGGCAAAGGATTCAAATAAAATAATTACTTCATGAAAGCATGCATGGTGAAATGGTGTGGGGGAAAGCGTGGCAGGAATAAAAATTCTGAAATGTTTGGGAAATAAAGCACTGCCACCAAAGAGCTGACACTTGACAGACGAACAGAAGACTGGTAGAGAGAGAAGCAGACGGTTGGTACTCCAAGAAGAGAGAACAGTAAATTAGAACCATGAGAGAGCCTGATGCTGTTAGAAAGGAAGAAAATTTCGTCACATGCTACAACATGGACGAAACTTGAGCACATTATGCTAAGTCAGTCAGTCACTAAAAGAAAAACTATGGTATGATTCCACTCTATTCTAGATAAATCCTGCTCTTTTTTTTTTGAGACGGAGCCTTGCTCTGTCGCCCAGACTGGAATGCAGCAGTGCGATACCAGCTCACTGCAACCTCCACCTCCTGGGCGATTCTCCTGCCTCAGCCTTCCAAGTAGCTGGGACTACAGGTATGTGCCACCACGCCTAGCTAATTTTTGTATTTTTAATAGAGACAGGTTTTGCCATGTTGGTCAGGCTGGTCTCGAACTCCTGACCTCAGGTGATCCGCCTGCCTCGGCCTCCCAAAGTGCTGGGATTGGATGTGAGCTACCATGCCTGGTAAATCCTGCTGTATTTCTAATTCATAGAAATAGCAAGTAAAATAGTGGTTACGGGGAGTGTGGGGAGAAATGATTGGTTTAATGGGATGGAGTTTTGGTTTTATAAAATGAAAACATTCTACAGATCAGTCACACAACAATGTGAATATACTTAACATACCAGGCATGACAGATCACTCAAGGCCAGGAGTTCAAGACCAGCCTGACCAACATGGCAAAACCCTATCTCTACTAAAAAAACAAAAATTAGCTGGGCATGGTGGCACCCTATAATCCTAGCTTCTTGGGAGGCTGAGGCATGAGAATCGCTTAAACTCAGGAGGTGGAGGTTGCAGTGAGCTGAGATCACACCACTGCACTCTAGCCTGGGTGAAAGAGCAAGACTGTCTCCAAAAGAAAAAATTACATATATATACACACATACTCACACACACAAACACTTAAACACTACTGAACGCTTAAAATTGAGTAAGGTCATTAAAAATAATTTCACAAAGGCTGGGCGCAGTGACTCACGCCTGTAATCCAAACACTTTGGGAGGTTAAGGTGGGAGGATGCTTGAGCCCAGGAGTTGAAGACCATCCTAGACAACAGAGTGAGATTCTGTATTTACAAAAAATAAAAAATTGGGCGGGGTGCAGTGGCTCACACCTATAATCCCAGCGCCTTGGGAGGCCGAGCCAGGCAGGTCATCTGAGGTTAGGAGTTCAAGACCAGCCTGGTCAACACGGTGAAACCCAGTCTCTACTAAAAGTATAAAAATTAGCCGGGTGTGGTGGTGGGCACCTACAATCCCAGCTACTGAGGAGGATGAGGGAGGAGAATTGCTTGAACCTGGGAGGCAGAGGTTGCAGTGAGCCGAGATGGCGCCACTGCACTCCAGCCTGGGTGACAAGAGCAAGACTTCATCTCAAAAATAAAAAATAAAATAAAAAATAAAAAAATTAGCTGTGCATGGTGACAGATGCCTGTAGTCCCAGCTACTTGGGAGGCTGAGGCAGGAGGATTGCTTGAGTCCAGGACTTCGAGGCTGCAGTGAGCTATGATTGCACCACTGCACTCCAGCCTGGGCAACAGGGCAAGACCCTGACTCAAAAAACAAAAAGCAAAAAATCTAGAAGTCTATAGATACATACATAATGTGATAAAAATGACAAATATTAACAACTGATTCGGAGAAAGGGACAGCATATGGGTCCACAGTGGAACTCAAAAGGTTGGAAACACTTTTTTTGGTAGAATCTACAAAAAAAATTAGGCTGGGCATGGTGACTCACACCATGTCCCAGTAAATGTATTTAGAGATGCTGCATCACTGTCATCTGGCAACCAGTCCCCAGCCTGAGGCTCTTCAGTAGCTCAAATGGAATGAATTACCCTGTAATTCATTGTCTATACACATAATGTGAGAAAAATGACAAGCAAACCTCCAAAAAACAAAAGCCTAATAAATTTGGACAAGCACAAATATTTCAGTACTGCTAGAGTGAAAAATGTGAGGCCAACTGGGAATGTAAGAGACCAGAGGCAGGTACTGGCAAGGAGGATACTGTCATAGTTTAGATGCAACTCAAGCGTCTGCGTGAGCATCGTGGCAAAAGTGATGTGAGTGTGAGAATGGATTAAGTAATATTTAGGAAGCAGAATCAATAGGACTTGCCAAAAGATTCAGTGTAGGGGACTTGAAAGAACCATGGGCAATCATGCCATTTACCAAGACAAAGAATACAGAAAAAGTTAAAGCATAAGGAATGGAAGGAGGCAAAATGGTGGTGGAACATGTGCGGGTGAGGAAGAGGGTGTAGAGAAAGGAACTTTGTGAGAAAAGTGAGTCAGGGTTAGTTATTTAACAGTCTTCATCACATACGTAGTAGTGTAATACAAGGATAAAACAAGGTCATTTATAGTAGAATCTGGAAGAACTTTGACGTTTAAGAGTAAGGAAAGAGAGTTGTTAATGGACACTGAGATGAGCTGATCAGAGAGGTTAGACAGAAATTGTGAAAGAAAAATGACACAGCAATCAAGAAAGGAGGCCAGGCTCACGCCTGTAATCCCAGCACTTCAGGAGGCCAAGGCAGGCGGCCCACAAGGTCAGGAGTTTGAGACGAGTTTGGCCACAACATGGTGAAACCCTGTCTCTACTAAAAATAAAAAAATTAGCTGGGTATGATGGCGGGTGCCTGTAATCCCAGCTACTCGGAGGCTGAGACAGGGAGAATCGCTTGAACCCGGGAGGCAGGGGTTGCAGTGAGCCAAGGTCGTGCCATTGCACTCCACCTGGGTGACAGAGCGAGACTCTGTCTCAAAAAAAAGAAAAAAAAAGGAAATCAAGAAAGGAAGAGAATTACAGAAAAAGAGAGGCAAAAGTGACAAACATTGCAAAGGGCAAAAGAGAAAGTTTGGCAAGAGGTACTTGGAGAACAGAGAAGACACCGGTTTTAGTGGTGTAGCAAGGACAAGAGATGAAACTGCCAGTCGAGAAGTTCCCCAGCTGGGCACGGTGGCTCATTCCTGTAATCCCAGCACTTTGGAAGGCCGAGGTGGGCAGATTGCCTGAGCTTGGGAGTTTGAGACCAGCCTGGGCAACACAGTGAAACCCCTACCTCTACTAAAAACAAAAATTAGCTGGGTGTGGCAGCCGTGCCACCTGTAGTCCAGCTACTTGGGAGCCGAGAGGCAGGGAGAATTGCTTGAACCCGGGAGGCAGAGGTTGCAGTGAGCCAAGGTTGTATCCACTGCACTCCAGCCCTGGCGACAGAACAAGACTCTATCTCCAAAAAAAAAAAAAAAAATTCCCATTCAGTGAATGGGAAAGTCAAAAGATTCTGGAAGTGTGACTGGGAAAAGAAAATATAAAAAGAATAGCTAGAGAGAGAAGCCAATGAAAGAGATTTTTCATTTTTCTTTTGAGTTGGGGAAAGACTGGAGTATGTTTATATACTGAGAAGAAAAAGCTAATATCAAGCAAGAAGTTAAAAATACGACAGAAAGCGAGAAGAATGATGG